AGAAGCCAACATTCAGCTCTTACAAAAGCTAAAACAAGACTTCCCCCCCAAGTATGGGCACAAGACAACCCCCAGGTCTAGCTGCTCACATTGCTTCTGTGATAGTGCAGCTAAGAGCCTCAGCTAAGCCAACACGAGTTAAACAGTACCCCCTCTCAGCAGAAGCCATAAAGGGGATAAAAATTCACAGAGACTAGTTGAGGGATGCAGGCATATTAATTCCTTGCAAATCATCCTGGAATATACCATTACTTCCAGTGAAAATGCCTGGCACAGGGGACTATAGGCCAGTATAGGACCGCATGTGGGAGGTAAACAAAAGAGTAGAAGATCTTCACCCTACTGTACCTAACCCATATGCTCTCCTGAGCGTCTTGCCTCCTGAAAAACAGGTCTATACTGTCATAAACCTAAAGGATGCCTTCTTCAGCATTCCCCTCACTCCAGTAAGCCAACCATTGTTTGCCTTCAAGTGGATGGATCCTGAGGATGGGTTTCAAGGACAGCTGACCTGGACATGACTCTCACAGGGGTTCAAAAACTCACCCACCATCTTCAATGAAGCCCTACACACTGACCTCTGTGAATACAGACTATCCCGCCCCAAAGGGACTCTTTTACAGTATGTGGATGATTTGCTTATAGCTGCAGAAGACAAAGGAGACCTGTTAACAAGCCACTGAGGGGATTCTCCCAGTGCTTCAGGAGCTCGGTTATAGAGTCTCAGGAAAAAAAAGGCCCAGCTCTGTGTACTTGGGATATGATCTAACAGAGAAAATGCGAGTGTTGTCAGAGGCCAGAAGACAGAGCATTCTGGGAATCTCCACTCCAACAACTAAAGTTGTACGAGAATTTTTGGGAATGGTGGATTTCTGCAGACTTTGGATTTTGAGCTTTGCTGAAAGGCAAGACCCCTCTATGAGGCTTTAAAAGGGGAGGGTGAGAAACCTGTTGGACTGAGAGGAAAATGCCTTCCAAAAACTAAAACAGGCTTTAATGATGGCACCTGCTCTGGCCCTTCTGGATGTATCTAAGCCTTTTCATCTCTTTGTGGATGAAAAAGGAGGCGAAGCCAAGGGAGTGTTGACTCAAAAGCTAGGCTTGTGGTATCTGCCAGTAGCTTATTTTTCCAAAAGGCTGGACTGGATGGCCAGCATGCCTTCAAATTATAGCCGCAACTGTATGAACTGATCAACAAACGATATCATGTACCCAACTTGAGCTCTATTTTACAGGATGTGACTAGTAGGTGTGTGACTTGTCAGAGGGTAAATGTTAACAATAGAGAGCAAAGGGCACCACTAGGCAAAAGAGAATGGGGAACTATGCCTGGGGCCTTATGTGAAGTAGATTTCATGGAGGTCAAGATGGGAAAATGTAGATACAAGTACCTGCTGGTATTCAAAGATACCTTCTCAGGGTGTGTGGAGGTCTTTCCTACTAGGATAGAAATAGCACAAGTGGTTACCAAAAGGCTAGTAGAAGAGATAGTGCCTAGGTTTGGTCTTCTATGGGCTTAGGGATAGACAATGGGCCTGCATTTGAGTCTAAAATTACTCGGTAGTTAAACAGGCTTTTGGGGATTAATGGGAAATTACATGTGCTTATCATCCCCAGAGCTCAGGGCAGGTAGAGAGGATGAATAGAACTCAAAAGAGATCTTAACCAAATTAACCTTAGAGACTGGCCCTCCTACCATTTGCCTTACTTAGGGCAAAATGCATGCCCTATTTTAAGGGCCTAACTCATGAAATTCTGTTCAGAAGATCACCCCTGCTAGGACCCAGACTATAAAATGAGACTATTGTTGAAATTTCTAACCAAAAATTACTTCAGTCCTTACAGTCCGTACACACCACACCGCAGGCCTTACACTCTCAATTCTGTGTGGCCCAGCTGCACACACCTGCTTCAGGACACAGCTTCTCACCTGGGGACCTCATGTGGGGCCCTGTCTCCCCAGTGGAAGGGACCCCACACCGTGATCCTGACGATACAATCGGCAGTTAAGGTAGATGGCATCAAGACCTGGATCCATGCATCACTCTTGAAGGCTGCCAGTCTACCATCAGAGGACAAATGGACTGCACATCAAGACCTCAAAGAACTTTTAAAGATAAGGCTTTTAAGACAATTATTTCATTCTTTATGATTTTGCCACTAAAAACAGGTGGCTCAATGATACCCCCAAATACACAGAGGTACAAATGGGGAATCCAGCAGTTTGAGATGAGCACCATAACTTATGTAAAAACCATTCAAAGTGTAGAGGGGCTAAATCATCAAACTAACCAAGTTAATATAACAACATGTGCCTTGGCCCCGTATATCCTTGCTGTTCTGATCGCCCCTTCTACATGTGTCCAAGGGTATCATCAAACTAAACAGCCAGGTGAATACTATTGTTCCCCCTGGGGATATGAGACTATCACCTCTGACTGGACAATGGGTGGTGACCCAGACATAGTTGTAATTATGGATTATGCCTTGCTTAGATTTAGCCCTGTTTCAAAACTCATCCTGGGGCTGGGTGCTGGTGGCTCACGCTTGTAATCCTAGCTACTCAGGAGGCTGAGATCTGAGGATCTCGGTTCAAAGCCAGCCCGGGCAGGAGAGACCGTGAGACTCTTATCTCCAATAAACCACCAGAAAACCGGAAGTGGCGCTGTAGCTCAAGTGGTAGAGCGCTTGCCTTGAGCTGAAGAGCTGAGGGACAGCGCCCAGGCCCAGAGTTCAAGCCCCACAACCGACAAAAAAACAAAACAAAACAAAAAAACTAATCCTGGGATGAATTGTATATAACGACCTACCTACATTATCCCCAAGGTAGACTATTATGGAGGACCAGAAGGATTTTATAATCTGGTAGACATAGGCCATGCCAAAAGAGCTGTTCCCATTTTAATTCCATGCAAAGTAGCAGGGATAGCTGGCTTGTTGGCATTGGAGGCAGCTACACTAATCAAAGCAAATGCAGATTTCAGTTCCCTTGCCACATAAGTGGATACCGATTTGCACCAAATGCATGAGTCTACAGACAGTCTAACTGATTCCCTCAATTCATTGGCAGAAGTAGTGTTACAAAACAGAAGAGCGTTCGACATTTTACTTCTAGAAGAGGTGGACTATGTGTGGCACTAGGAGAAGAAAGTTGCTTCTGGACCAACCATACTGGAGTTATCAAAAACAGCCTAGCTGCTGTTAAACAGAGACTAGATGAGCATGAAAAGATACGCAAAGAGTCACAAGGGCAGTATGAGTCATTGTTTAATTGGTCCCCATGGTTAATGACCTTGATTTCAGCTGTAATGGGCCCTCTGATTCTTATCCTCTTCATGTTAGTATTTGGCCCTTGTGCTATAGATGCATTAATGTCATTCTGTTGTATGGTACTCTCAATTCTCAAGTTTTAGAGATGCCACAATTCAAAAAGTCAAATTTGGAATGTTTATTAAAAAGCCAGTGACTGCATGGTGGACTCCTGTCTCAAAGACCAGCAGTCCAGAACAGAGCTAGCACACAGTTTTAAAAGATAAGGACAAAAAGTGTCATACATAAAACAAGCTAAATGAGGATACTTATTCCTAATAAAGTGGTTATACAAAGTGATAATTCAGGGGGACAATCAGGACCTCAATTATCTAGAGGATGCCCATGACAATATTTAGAGTCAAAGAGTATCCTCTATAACCTCCAGAGTTTGGAAAGTCCACATCTACAATTAATAGCAAGATGCCAAGATGGCATTCAAGTTACTTAGATTCAGTATCCATATCTCAATTCGTGCAAAAAAGAATTAGGGCAGCAAAACTGATGGAAATGCAAAACCAATATGTTTCTCTCCCTATGGAGGAGCTGAGTCAATGATTCGACTCAGGGACAAGTCAAAGGGGGGAGTGTAATGGGAAATGGTCCAGAAGAGAAAAAAAATTGAGACTTAAATTAACATCACCTCAGTGTAAACTTTAATTCAACCTGTGGGCTTCTGGATTCCATCTTGACTCACTGGGTGATGGTGACCCCTAGACAATGCTTAAACTATGAAAAACAGCCTCACTAATCTAACCCCCTCCAGAGCTGGAGAGCCAGATTCCTGGAGTAGAGGAGACATCTGGCCCCCATCCCCCTAATGACCTGCCTCATTCCTTCACGGTTTCCCTTGATAATCCCCAGTAATCTTGCTCAACTTGCTCAACTCAGCCCTTAAAACTTACCTGCATTTTCCCCTGCCAAAATGTAAACCCCACCTTTTGCCCACCAAATTCATGCACCAATTCAAAGTGATAGGTTAGTTTGAACAGCTACTATAAGACACACTGTAACTCCATTGGCCACCTGTGTGTGGCCTGTCATGATTATGCAATGTAAGCATTATGCCCACCTTTGGTTCTCAGCTCCACCCAGACCTGAACTCCTCCCTGCCCTGGAGTTCCTGCCAAACAGCTGGCCCCTCCCTCTCTCTTCCCAGAGCCACCTGAAGTCCCATCTACCTCGCTTCCGATCACCCAGACCCTGCTGCTACCTAGATAGTGAAGGCTGCCATGTGCTCTCTCTCTGGGGCAAATATGGCTCTTCAAATAAACCTTGTAATAATCTTTCTCCTGTGCCTGCCTACCTCTGTGTGGTCCCCTGGGCTGGATGTGAGGATCCTTTCATGCAATCCTTTGTGTGTGTTGTGTGTGACCAGGCTTGACTGCATGTATTTTGTCTTTAAAAACCCTAGCTTGTGGGCCATTTGGGGTCACAGTACCAGCTCCTGAGTCTGTGCTGCAGCCCTGACCAATCAGTGTAGGAACTTTCTCAATGAAGTTGCTTCCTTGCTAACAACTTTGTTGCGGTGGGCTCTGTCACTCTAGATGACTAGGGCTTGCCCACCTGAGTAGGGGTCTTTCTACTACACTGAGGCTACAGAGGAAGTGAGGAATAATGGTATGTGGTTTTCTGCCACCTGAAGATCTTAAAGCTCTTCTTCCTTAAGGCTCCAGTGAGACTCTCCTGAGGGCCCCTCAGGTTTTAAAACCCACCAATCATAGTAGTAGGCTATCAGGAAGGCTCTCCATTCTATGGAGAATTGTTCTAAAGACATCACAGTGGGGAGCTCATAGTAAGTTGGGCATTGAACCTCAGGTTTCAGCACCAGACTACCACTTAAGCAGGGCTTCAAGCACTCAAAGGACACTGTGGCAATAGACTCAGGGCACAAACTCAGTGGGTATCTCACTGTGGGCAGAAACGAATTTGCCAATGTTGAGTGTTAATTCCCCCAAGGCCCTAGTCAGTTTCCAAACTGACATTATGCCAAAGCCCTGACCCCAACCACAGTCTTCATCTCCACAGGTACTGTTGATAGACTGCACCTGATGATCAGCATTTGAGTGAAGACAAGGCCCTTCTCCAACTGTCACAAGAAGATATCATGTCTTTTATTGGGATCTAAAGGTATTTACTAGTTTATTTTTAAGGTACCCAAACTAATACCAAGTCCTCAAGGTTCCTTAAGGGAACACAGTTCATCTTCCTAGGTAATGAACACCAATAAATGAGGCTTATAAATACATGTGCATATTTGCATTTAAAAGTTCAGAGGGGAAACCGATAGTTATATATAAGGCCAATCATTTTCTAAAAGAATCATACTGTTTAAAAATGATGTTTTCTTATGCATAAAATATATAGAATACAGGAAATTGATAAAACTATTTCCATTATCTTAGAAGAATATGAATTAGCAATATCCTCTTGATTTATTGCAAAATTTTTCTATTTTTTCCTTTTAGGCTTTATACTTATTTATGCTCATGTGTGTGTGCAACAGTATTTTTTTCTTTAAAAGATAAAATTTCAAATGAAATATTCATGTAACTGATGGGAAAAAATCATAGTTGGGCATATGAATCAAAGCAAAGAAAGAAGGCTGTAACAAGCCATGTCACCTAACAATGATAGGAATTGCTGCTTTTTCATCTTGTCAGAATCTCTAGAAGAATGATGGAAGGAGTGAACTTTGAGTTCTCTTGAGTTCAAGATTTTTATCTTCAGCAAAGAAAAAAATGAATGGGAAAGTTCATCATATATTTCAGACTTTATTGAAAGTAGCCAAATAACATTATTTGGAATTTTGATACATTTTACAGGTGTTGGTTTGAACATCATTATTTTCTTTCATTTGTGAGAGGTAAATCTATCCTCCCCTGATGTTACTCAAAATAAAATAAGGATACCATAGGAATCCAATTCCAAAGTAACACTTGGAAGAACAAAGGGAAAATACAAGGTCATGTAGCAAGAGTTAACTGAGATAGGTCTGGTAGTGAACTATCTTATAATAGTTACATAATTATATGCTTTGTAATTCAGGTTTATAATGATATTTTCATATGCATTATAGTGACAATACAATGGTTTGAGATTAAAAAGCAAGCACCAGAAAGGTTACAGATATTTTATTTTTAACTATTTTACTTTTATTTATTTATTTTTTTTTTGGCTGGTAGTAGGGCTTGAAGTCAGGGCCTGGATGCTGCCCCTGAGCTCTTTTGTTCAGGCTAGTGTTCTCCCACTTTGAGCCACAACTCCACTTCCAGTTTTCTGGTGGTTAATTGGAGACAAGAGTCTCATGGACTTTCCTGCCCAGGCTGCCTTTGAACCGTGATCCCCAGATCTTAGCCTCCTGAGTAGCTAGGATTACAGGTGTGAACCACTGCTGCCTGCTACAAATATTTAATGAACATAAAAAATTGGTTGTCTCTAGAGAAGGGAATATAAAAGATTGAAATGTGGTCTCTTACAACAGGAAAAGATCAATGAGGAGGGAGGGATATGGGATGTGAGAGGGGAGGGGCCAGAGTGAACCGCAACTGAGCCAGGACATTCTATGGAGGTAGGTGGAGAAGGGTGGAGCTGGAACCATGGCTGGATAAGACCTTAAGGTATATAAAAGCCAGTTGATCCAAGAAGACAAAGTCCAAGGGTACCGGCTCTGGTCTGTAGTCAATGGCAGCCAGAATTCCTGCAAAAAACCAAAACACAGCACAGGAGAGAATGGCCCCAAGGATGCTACGCTTGTTTCTTTCCTGCCTTTTAGGAGCCTGGCTACTGCTGAGCCTGAGCCCCAGTGAGACCACTGCCAGCTCTCAGAGTCAGGGCGCTATGTCCTGCAATGCTACAGTTATCCACAAGCTCCAAAAGTTCTGCAGGAATGTTGGAAGGAGAGATGCAAAAGTCCGTGCGAAGCTGACACTTCAAGGGGAACCACAGTCAGGTGAGTGCTCCAAACCCTCCTGCCTCCTCTGGTTCTACACTAAGAATGAAAGACTCTTAGCTGCTAAGAAATCTGCAAGTCTACTCTTGGGGGGGGGGCGTGGCTGGCCCAGATCTCATTGACAGCCTGTGCTCAGTTCACTGTGCAGTAGCAGATTCCTACCGTCTGGACTCCCCCCCATTTTTTTTTTTTGCCATTTGCTGTGATTGAAAGGTCTCTGAAGAATCTCATCATAGCAGTGACAAACGACTTGGCAAAAATCAATCAGACCAAAGAGAGCCTTTGTGCCTTTCCCACTTTGCCAGCTAGAACAATAAAGTGGGGGGAAAACAAGGAAGTTTGATGGAAGAGGAAGTTTCCCCAAACTTCAGTGGGAAGGCTAGAGTCTATGGCTAGTTTGAGGTTCCAGTATATTTGGTCAAGTCCTTTTCTTTTCAGAATGGAAGCAAGTACAATTTAACTGGCTCTCCTTGATTTGAACGTATTTTCACATGTCCGCTTTCTCCACTTTTTGACCTGACAGAAAGCCAAGTCTTCCTCCACAACAGAGATTCGGATGCCTTAAAGCTCATGTTAGAACACATTCCTGAGTTTTCACCGGAACTGAAGACTATGCTTTCACAGGAACTGAAGACTAAGCCCTTCCTGAGGAAGACAGACCATCCAAAAGAAAGGGCAACAAAGCTTGACATGGTTACTTCCTTTGCATCGCTTTGCTGTGCAAGTGATTGCATCAGAAAACTTAAGCGGATAATGTGCTATATAGATGCAATCAGTCAGTATTGATATTTTTAGTCATTGACAGGTAATAGCAATCAACTATTTCGTTTATGTAATCTTCATTTGTCATCTTGATTATATTTTCACTGATATTCAACTCAATTACCATGGATTATTAAAAATCATGAAAAGGGCTGGGAAGGTGGCTCAGTGGTAGAGCGCTTGCCTTGCATGCCTGAGGCCCTGGGTTCGGATTCCTCAGCACCATATAAGCAAAAAGAAAAAAGCCGAAGTGGTGCTGTGGCTCAAGTGGTAGAGTGCTAGCCTTGAGCTGAAGAGCTGAGGGACAACGTTCAGGCCCATGACCGGACAAAATAAATAAATAAATAAAATAAAAATCATGAAAATTATCTGTAAGATTTACATTTTCTGAAGAGTCCTCCTGTATTTAATTATTGCCAACAGTTACTTCTTTTAGCAAAAAAGCCTTTATGTCCTTTTTATTTATTTTTTAAAAAAATTTTATTTTTTGGGTCTGGT